ATAAGTAATATGAACAACAAAGAGATATATCCTATATGATGAATATGTATATATGCACAAGGGTAAACAATATGAACTAGATAGTGGATCATATAAATGATGAGCTAATGACAATGGCAACAAGAATTATAAACACAAGTATAAATAAACGCCAAAGCACACTCAAACACAAGATATGATCACGGAGTTCGGACCTTCCGTCCTACGTCTCCGCTCCCCACTCCCGGGGAGAAATCCACTATCAACCGGGTTTTCTACGTTCACCCGAATAACGTTTACACCTCACAGTATCGGTTTTCAACGCTCACCGATCAACGTCACTCCTCACACTCGGTTTCTAGCTCACCGAAAACCTCACTACACACTCGGTTTCTAGCTCACCGAAAACCTTACAACACTCACAATGTAACAAATATAAATTTGTTCTCTACAATAGATGAGAACACAATGAAAGCACAACTCAAAGTTACAATCTCTCACCACCCAACTATACTATGTATGAAAGATACAATAAGCTCAATGTGGGTGTGTGTAACAGTGAGATTCAATAAAACTTAACTCAATAAGAACTAGCAATAAAAATTGATATGAAATTCAATAGTAAAAATGCTAGGAAATAGAGTTAAGGAAACTTCTCTATAAACACAAAGAGAGGATGATGAAATGTTGAAGATGAACTCTTCAATAGCTGATTGTAAACTACTCTTTGTAACAGCAAACCAAAACAAACTTAAACCAAACAAAAACAAGCTTAAACCCTTGTTTAAAAACTTGTTTAAAACTTCTTAAAACATTCTCTTCACTTGTTGAAAAGATATCAGCAAAGGGGTATTTATACCCACTAGAAATCTCAGCAAAAACCCCAAAACAAAATGACCAAAAACCCCAGCAAACAGCTCAGAGAAAGAGCCGTTAAAAGACAACGGTCATATTGTCGGTCGACCGAAAATCCCGTCGGTCGACCGATGAGAGCAAAAACACGAAGAAAACTTTCTGGACTAACGTCGGTCGATCGGAAATTCTGTCAGTCGACCGATTTGAGCTTTCGGTCGACCGGACCGGTCGACCGATGACTCTCTGGAAAAATGCTGACGAATGGTCAATTGACCGGTCGACCGTACCGGTCGACCGAAAACTAACATTCTAGAAAAATTGGTTTTAGAGCTGATTTTAAAACCCTGTTTAAAAATATCAAATAAATTCTAAAAAATGTAAAACTTTGGGGAATGATTGTAGACATGATAATAAACATGCTACAATGACTGGTTATCAAAAAGGACTTCCCAAATGAAAAATATCATTATTTTACAAACTAATCCAAAACATGAAAATATGACATACTTGAATTTTGATGTTTTGACATAAACCAACTTTTGAAACTTTGTGAAATGTTTTTGTAGACTTAGTAAAACATGTATAAACTGATATTGAAGTCTATAAACTAAGAATACAATATTTTCACAAAATTGCATATTCTATGCAATGTTTTCAAAAACATAATAGAAAATATGAAATATAGAATATATATATATATATATATATATATGACTATATATATATATACGAAGAAACCAATAAATGTGTGTGTATAGATAATTGAGCTTAACGTATTAAACACACATAATATAAACCTATACTAAATTACCCAAGCTTGATTGGTCTTTAATAAGCTCTACTTGGTAATCTCACGGATGAAGCTTGAACTTGATCTTTAACTTTGAATTGCAAGGCTTCACCGACATTCCGCCAACCTCCTTTGGATATGATCGTTGAAGCTCTATTCCATCCATCCTCCAACAACGTTGTTTGTCTACAATAAATACGAAAACACAAATACTAGACAAATAACATTAGTGGTAAATTGTTTGTTAAACATCATCAAAACAAGAAGGTCAACAAAAAAGACACCAGAATACAAATCTGGGGAATTTTATCCTGAATCCTAAGTAAGGATGAGTCAGCGCCTAACACGCGTTGCTGGGTGATCTATTCCCGTGACAAAGACAAAGTCTATGTATTCAAAATTATAGCACCAAGTCTAAGAGAATTAACTCTCTTGGCACAACGTCACATGTGAAACGAGTTTTAATAATTCACATGCTAGCCCGATTCAAACGGTAATCGGTAAAGGCAAGCCAAATCCGTTAATGGCTGAGGGTTTGCGAAAAATCCTATAAGTATTTATTTGTCACAAATTCAGATAAAAAAATCATGACAAAAGAAGAAAAAACAAAAAAATATATATAAAGGGGGGGTGTCTCGGCCCATTGGCCGAGACACTCTTAGTATCTCGGGCCAAGGCCGGGTCCCCCAGGTATTTTTATGATGTTTTTCACAGTGTTTTCGTCCGTTTTTGGTTGCTCCGATAAAAATCAACATCAGTCAACACCGATTGATGCGAAACCCCGAGGTCAATGCCAGTCAACGCGTAGCCCTAGGTAAACATCAGTCAACGCATTATGATGAAAGTCAACACCGATCGATGCGAAACCCTAAGGTCAACACCGGTCAACGCGTAGCCCTAGGTCAACGTAAGTCAACGCGTTGCGATGAAAGTCAACGCCGATCGATGTGAAACCCTGAGGTCAACGCCAGTCAATGCGTTACGATGAAAGTCGACGCCGATCGATGCGAAACCCTAAGGTCAAAGCCAGTCAACGCCAGTCAACGCGTAGCCTTAGGTCAACGCTAGTCAACGTGTAGCCTTAGGTCAATGCTAGTCAACGTGTAGCCTTAGGTCAATACTAGTCAACGCGTAGCCTAGGTCAACGCCAGTCAACACGTAGCCTTAGGTCAACGCCAGTCAACGCGTAGTCTTAGGTCAACTCCAGTCAACGCGCTGCGATGAAAGGCAACACCGATCGATGCGAAACCCTGAGGTCAACATCTGTTAACGCGTAACCCTAGGTCAACGCCAATCAACGCGTTACGATAAAAGTCAACGCCGATCAATGCGAAACCCTAAGGTTAATGCTGGTCAACGCGTAGCCCTAGGTTAACACCGATCAATGCGTGGCTCTGAGTCAACACCGGTCAACGCGTTGCGACGGAAATAATCAATTCAAAGTCAACTCAATTACACAAGCCAAAACCAACTCACCAACTTCGATTCGAGACTTCGACGACGGCCAGACAATAAACGCAGCGCCGAAAAAAACTTCAGTTATTCATCAAAATATTGAATAGACTGAAAATCAAAGAAGTCAATGATCGAAACTGACTACATGTCCTCTCACACCGACTGAAGGTTGAACCGTTCACATCCAAAGTATTTCAGGCTCTTCTATAAAAGAAACGAGACTGAAACACTTTGAAGGGGGTATCTGTAGGCGTCTAAAATTGCCTATAGGTTCCCGCACGCGGCTCGAGATAGAGAGAAGATGATGAACATCACTATCCAAGCCACATAAGCTTATTTGATGTCAACAAGCGCATGAAGTGAGTTGACGAACTGTGTGAAGCAACGAAACATCAGAATAACGAAAACACGAACTGATTGGGAGCTACGCTTCTTTTATGAAACACAAAACTCCCCTCATATCCCATCTACTCCACATGTCATTCAACCATGGGAGCTTCTAGATCTTCTCATTAGCTTTCCAACGCATATCGAATCACGCAATTCCGAGTTCGGACGACGAAAATACGGCGGAAACGGATGGGACGCGCGAAATAATGCCCCGGACCTTAGTGGAGACACCGCAAGTGTCTTGGCCGAGGCCGAGACACCCTGTCTCGGC